GTTCTTCCTCATCCACTTGTTTAGATGCTCCTACGGCAGTCATTTCCTCTTGTTTCTTAGGCTCAGGATCACTTCTTTCCAGAAAACTTCTATGATTGTTAAAGAATTCCTCTGTTTGGAATGGAGTATCCAATCTATATCTTTTCAAGTCCCAGAAGATTAACAATCCTTCTGGGACCAGCCATCAGAAATTCACTCCTTTATTAAACAATTTCTTTGTTAAAAACTGATATTCTCTTCAGGCTTCTCTTATTCTTCTGGGAATTTGCTTAAGAACTACAAGCTCTTTTTCTTTATATTTCAGTGGTTGATCTCTTATTGCTCTCAAAATCTCATCTCTTGTAAATCTTTTAACAAATCTTACATGGACTTCCCTGGGGACTCTGTTTCTTCTGGCATAGCCTGAATTTACTCTGAAGGCCTGATATATCTCTCGTTTCATTTGTATCATTTCCATTCCAAGTAAATCCATGAGTAACTCGCTCATCAAGTCTAATAAGTTCTCCTCTTTCTCTTCTATAATGTTTGGAATCTTAGAAAGTATGATGCTCTTTTCATCTCCATTATAGCCATGCTGTCTTCCAATTTCGCGTTAGCTTGTATCACTCTCTGATTCTCATCTTGCAAGGATTCTAATTTGTGGTCAACTTCCACTGACTTGTCTTCAATTTTTTGCATTCTTTGTTGGTTGTCTGCCTGTTGGTTGTCTGCCTGTTGGAAGATTTCCATTTTTTGATTCATTTTAACAAGATCATTTTTCAGGTCTTCCTAATTCTTATCCAAATCCTTTTTCATTTCCATTTTCAAATCTTCAATATTTTTAGTTGTAGTTGCCACCTGAGCTGCAATTGCTTGCAGTATTGCTTGTATATCTTTCTGTTGGAATTCTCCTTTTTCTTGTTGTAAAAATGTAGTAATTGATTTTTGAGGAACTGGACTTGCCACAATTGAAGCGGGGGCAGAGGATCCCTTTCTCGCCCTTTAGCTAAATTTGAGGTACTTATCTTTTGGTTGTTATATTATAATCCACGAGGCAGCCCAATGGCCATTTGTAATCCAATGCTCTCCTATTGCTGGGAAAGAGGATCAAATATAGTTAAAAGAAAGAAGCCAGCAAAAAAAGAAAAAAAGAAAAGTAAAAAAAATAATTCCAGTAGGGGGGTAGAAAGGGACCCCAAAAAAACCATCCAAAAAGGGGAAAAAGTTGTCAAAAGCAAGCAGATTACTAGAAATAAAAAAAACTAAGGTGGAGACAAGGGTACTCCTACGGAAAAGGGTGGCCACAAAAAACGAGGAGAAATCCACAAAAAAAGAAAAGGGAGCAGAAAAAATGAGCCAAAGGGGAGGAAGAAATAAAAAGCCAAAAACAAAGAAAAACTATAAAAAAATTATCCAAATTATAATCCAACTAGTTCGGTTCGGCACCAAAGAAAAAAGCAAAAAAAGAAGACAAGATTTCTTAATGTTTCTCCTTAAAATAGGGGTCCTACAGCCAAAACACCAAGAAGACCAGACAGAAGAGGGAAAAAAAGTCTCTTTAGATGACTTTTAAAGGCAGGTGGGAATGTCTATGCATTCTGCCAAGTGTCTGGGCGTTGAGTCAAGTTCTCCAGCTAAATAAACAACAGCTGCTGGAGAACAAAGGAAAAAAGATTCAATGTAGCCACAAAGGCACTGGATGTGTCCTTCTCAAAGGTTTAAACAGGAAGCAGAAAAAAAAGTTCACAATGAAGGAAAAAAAGTTTCTAGAAATTTAAAAACCAAAAAATAAAGCTAGAATGGCTTTCCCCAATTTAAAAATATTTTTTGTAAAAAACGAATAAATTTCCCCAACTTCAATTAACACTTCAAAAGACTTTAGTATAGTCCAAATTATTATTTTGTAATGGAATGTAGTTTAAACCTCCACTTACGCAGGAGGGGGAAAAAACTCCTCCTCCCTCCCTTCAGGCTTGCCGCTTCAGTTAAAGACAGGCTATTTCAGATCAAAGTCCACTTTCCAAAGGCAAAGGGATCATTGTCCCACCCAGGTCAGCTGCTTGCTGTCAGATTCAGCTGTTCTTCGTCTCCGATGATCAGCTGTTAATGGTGGATCGCATAAATGTAGTCCGCCTTTCTCCCGTTGGTTCCAGGGGCTGCTTTGAGTTCAGCTACCGTCAGCCCATATTCCTCAGAGATTCACCCTTCCGTGGCCACCTCTCCAGGGTGGCATTCAGTCCAAACAGACCTGCCAGTGGAAAAATTTCAGACCCAGGGAATGGAGAGTCGTTCCCCTGGGTTTAAGCTCAGCGGAGGTAATCGGAAACTCATTTGCAGCTGTGAAATCTGGGAAGCAATGTTATTCAAGATTGTTACTAAGAGACAAAGGATTTTTCTCATAACAATTATCTGATGCTTAATTGGAGAATGTGACTTGCATTGTCAGGGGGAAGGGGAGTTTCTATGCTATTAATTTGCTGTTCTGGCACCAAATTACCAGAGCTTGTTTTCTATTCATCAATACCAATATGTTATACTCAGTAAAGTTTTGCATTAGAGATTTGAATGTCTCAGATGTGCTTACTTTGTTGCAATCATCAGTCGGAACCTTGACAACTTGATTGTACCAACAGATGTTTCACTCACTGGTTTCATGAAGATACTAAATAACAGCTATGAGGGTCCTCCAAAACAGGAGCTTTGGGCTACATTCCACCATAAAATAACTGGAAATGGTCCTGGAGGAAGGACAACTAGTGCAGCTCCATACTTCCATCTCCTAAACCTTGAAACCAGTCCAGGATATCCAGTTATACCTTCTCCACCTAGACTTTACCAAATGTTGCTATCAATAATGATTAATAGTGATTAATAGTACCAAAAGCTGCTGGGTAATCAAAAAGATTATCCCTTTAGAGATCAACTGTAAGAGTGGTCATTGCCGTCTTAAGTATTATATCCTGGTCTGGGAGCCAAATGAAAGAGATCTAGACAATTCATTTCATCTGTAACTATAAACTGACTACCTTCTCAACAGATTTCTCTCAAAATTGTTGGATCCTATAAAAATTCTTGAGGAGGGCCACAGCCTCTTTAAGACCACTGTGATCAAATTTTATGTCATCTCTTGAAAGGCCAGGAGGGACAAGGATTTATTACTATTCTGTGGCTTACATCATTGAGGACCCCACTTTTTCAAGAGCAACAGGTTTCAACTCTTCTCATATCACCATGCCATAGAGTGCCCTAGTTATCTCAAAAGACCTGTAAATCCAGAATTTAACTTTGTGAATTTGAGGAATTGTGTCTAACAATGCTTAGAGTAGTCTAATATGTGACCACTATTTTGGCCACTGAAATACTGGCATCATTGGCATGGTGGCCTAAAACTCCTGGTTTGCTCCAAACCCTTTCCCTGAGAGGGCAGATTAATGTTCTCCAGCACTATACTAGTGCCAACAGTTTCTAGTAATTTGAGCAGGGAAGCTGGTATAGTAGCAGTCATTCCATCTGATGTCTCATCATAACTATGCTCTGCAGAGCTGTGAGTCTGAAAACCACCAGGTACTCCAAATAATGGTAGCTAATCCCCCCCTATCCTGTAGTCACAGTTGGTGTCCTATTTAAAATCCAAGTGAGCATTTCTCTGAGAAGGGAATCCCCTCCTCTGTGCCCAGTCAGGTCTTAGTAATATATGTTATTCAGGTTTACAACAAGCTGATTTGATATATAGAAGCCAATACCTGGGACCCGGAGGTAGCATTGATTGGGTATTGGGATTGAATGCAGGTATTGGAAAATAGAATTGGAATTCTGGACATTGAGACCATGCTCCTTGAAAATGGCATACCATATCTACTCCTGCCCATCATCACAAAAATGGAAGCTAATTATATTTAGATGAAAAGTTTGTAGTTTTCAATGCAGAGTTGTTATTTTCCAAATATGCTATAATTATGGGGTTGTTCATCCTTCTCCCCATGTAAACAGAAATATGCTCATATTACTAAGATGATGTTGTTGTTGTTATCAATTTAGTAGTGCCTGACTCTTAGTAATTCTATGGAACAGGTCTCTCCACATCTTCTATCTTGCACTACTCTGAGTTTTCTGCGCTGTGATTGGTGTCAGCTTTGATGGTGTCCAGCCACAGGGTTCTTTGACGGCCTGATTTCCTTTTACCACTAACTCTTCCAAACATAATTGCTTTCTCCAGCGAATTTTCCTGCATGACATGGCCAAATTGAGACACAGTTTTGTGATTTTGTGACTTTGAAGTTCTGGAATTTGTGCAATGTGGGCTTTGTGTTCTTAAAGGAGTGTTTGGCAATTTCTATTGCTGATGTCCCGTGTTGGATTTTGGGTTCTAAATCTATTGCTCTGCTATTGTTAGCTGTAAGTTTTGCTGCAAGGGATTTTGAAGTATTTTTGTCCTGCATGGATTTTGCCTGTAGCATTCCTTTACTTATGAATGTTTGATAAATATATGGAAGAGGGAAAATATGGGGGGGGGTCTAATTCTTCCTTCAGAAGGAAGGAGATGGGAATGAGAAAGAGGGAGGTAGTGAAGGAGGGAGGGAGGGAAACAGAAAGGAAGAGAGGAGGAAGGGCGATTGGAATGAAAGGGAGGGAGGAACTTTCAAAACCTTGCAAGCCTTGGGTAAAAATGTGTGCTTTATCAATATAAAAATTAGGTGCTCACAGGTGCTCCTGTGCATTCCAAAACATTCCTTTAGATCAGCAGGTCCCAACCTTTTCGATATCCCACATCCCTAGAACACTTCTGATATATTCTCTCACCCCTTACAAAAGTTTGAAATAACGGCAACGAATTATGCATATACACTATAATTTTGAAAACCCAAGTTTTTGCATCCCCTGGAATATCGTCTCACACCCCTAGGGGTTGCGAGCACTCCCGGTTGGGAACCCCTGCTTTAAATAGATGTACACATCTATAGAAATTGCATTTTCTTTCCTCCTGTTACCGTAGTTTCACTTTGTGCTGCTTTTAATTACAGAAAAGCAAATGTCCTTCTGGAGACAAGACAAGTAGCTATGAAAATCTTCGAAGATTACACCGTTTCCTGGTACTGGATAATAATGTAAGCATAGGACTGAATAGGCCCACTAAACTATAGAATGAAATTGTGGCTTAATTATCCCAAAACCAGAACACTGGAGAAATTAGAAAATGCATAAACTTGAGATGGTTTATATGGGGATCTCCCTTAATTTAATCCATATCAGCTGTACAAAGGAGGATTGGCCTGAATTAACCACTGACCCAAAGTCATTCAGTAAGCACCATGATCAAGCTAGGTTTTGGGCTTGGGTTTCTTTGGCATGTATCCAAAATTTTAACTTATTATACTAGCAGTCTTGGCACTCTGTCATTGCCCTAGCTGAAGTACTGCTCTCTTGCCTGCCAATTTGTTCATTCACTCATTTTTGGGGAGCATTATGCATTGAACACTCATTTCTTTTACATAATCAACATTGTTTATCCATATTCATCCATACTGGCTTGCTTCACAACAAAGTGTTTTAATTGATTTGGGGTTAATATGATATGTAAATCAGGCTACTATAGTTTATTCAACAACTTGGGGTTTTTAAAATCCTGGTTTAGCATTAGGAATGACTGTAGCTATTTTGTTAATTGATTCATGTAATCCAAGCAGTTATAACTGTAAATATCTGCATGGTAAAGTAGCAAATGAGAATTTAGAGAAGAGATTAATATATATATATATTTATGTAAATGTAAGATAGTGAAACATGGAAGGAAGAAATTAATTTTACAAATCCATGATGAAAATATAATATTCCTCTGAGCGTACATTGCTTTGATATCTTTTCTTCTTTTAAATAAGATATTTGGTTTTCAATGCAAGAATTATTTCAAGACTTTCTGTCTTCCATCTGCAGAGGTCTCGTGATTTCCATGGTAGTCAGTCTTGTATTTATTGTTCTGCTCCGGTTCCTGGCAGGGATCATGATTTGGGTGATGATTGTACTGGTGATCCTGGTGCTTGGATATGGTGAGTTAAATCAAGTCTGGAATCTTATGAGTTATAGCAAAAGTCTACTGGAAATTCTCATTCTTCAGATTTAGTTTAGAGGTGGATAGAATATAAACTTCTAAAATATTCCAAATCCTCACTATTGTGAACTAACCATGATGAGCTATTGGAGACTGGAGTTAACAGTATCTGGAAGACTATACATTAATGAGGTACCCATGGCTGATTTGGATACCTTTGAGAGTTGGGTACCTCTGAATTCTGAAAGTTGCAACGCAACATATCTGGAAATGTCAGATTGGGGAAGATTTTGCTAAGATTTTATATAATATGTCTATGAATTGCTTTGCTTTCTGTATTTTTTAATCACCATTCCCCATTTAGGCTGCAATATTGTGGGTATACAGTAATGAGAATATTAGGCTGCAATATTGTGGGTATACAGTAATGAGAGTATACAGCCCTTTTCTCTTCCTTTTCCAACTCTTGTTTTTGTTTTCCAGGAATCTTTCATTGTTATATGGAATATGCTCATCTGAAAGGACAAGCTGGTTCTGATGTCTCCTTGATGGAGCTTGGATTCCAGACAGATTTTCGTGTCTATCTGCACTTGAAGCAAACCTGGTTAGCTTTCAGTGAGTTCCTGTTTGAGTATAATAGCTAGGGGCCTTTTGAATGAGCAGATCTAGAAGCTATTTAAAAATTGGAAAAGTTCTCTTCAAACCTCCATACAGATGAAAGTGTATTCTGAATAGTTCTAAGATTTTTTCTAGTTTGTGTTTTTATCTTGCTCAGTAAACGCTGTATAGAGCAGGAATCAAGTCATTTCCTTTTTTTTTTTTTGATCCAGTGATCATCCTGTGCATTATGGAAGTTATCATTATTCTACTGCTTATCTTCTTGCGCAAGAGAATCCTCATTGCTATTGCACTTATCAAGGAAGCTAGCAGGTGAGGCTGACTTGGACTCTTCTATTCTTGGAAGTGTCATCCACAACCATCCCCTCATTAATCAGTTTTGTGGTTCTTCAGAATTGGCTTGCTATTCTTGTCTAAATCTATTGCTGCTGGAAAATCAAGCAGATCTGTACTGCATCAACAAACAAAAGAGAAAATGCTAAATTGAGATTAATATTCTCTTTTTGCAAGAGAATAAACTGGTTGTCCATCTCAAATATAAAACATTCTTTTTATTCATTCCTTCCAGAACTGTTGGGGGTGGGAGGAGTTAAAGTTTAAAGTTAAAGTTCCAGCTCTATTCTTTTGTAAAGTGTACAATATGCACTCCTTGAATAGAAACTGTTAACTATCCTGGATATACTGTAGGTGAACCCAGTACCAATGTGGCCAAAGAACAAACAAGGCTTTATTGTGGCTGGCTGTACTAAAGCATTGGAACTGAATCATGTGCTTTTTCTTTCTCCCCATTCCCCATCCCTCTTGCAGGGCTATCGGACACATCATGACATCACTTCTGTTTCCACTCTGTACCTTCTTTCTGGTGTGTCTCTGCATTGCTTATTGGGCTAGTACTGCTGTGTATCCTTCCTCAATTTTTCTTTCTTTCCTGAATAAATGGGTGAAGGGGATGGGTAACCTAGTTCTCAGATGTTCATCTCAGGCAAGAAAAAGTGGCATTTTTATTACTATAATAAAGAGTTCCTTGACTGCTTCTAGTTTCTTGTCTACCTCTAACGAAGCTGTCTACAAGGTGTTTAATGATACAGAATGCCAATATGCTGGAACAACTTGCAACCCAGAGGTAAGGAACTTAAAATAATTAACTAGTGAAAATATTTTCAGTTAAGCTGTTTGGAAACTACAAGAATATAGCAGTCCACTTCCTGCTGAATATGTGACAGATCCTCCTGCAAGTGCCATGGATGAGGTTCACTCCTTCCAGTCTTTGTTTGAAGAGTCTGAGTCAAGCAGGTTTCCCTCCTATTCCAGAAAATGGGATGTTCAAAGACTAGGTTTGTACTTTCTCCCAGGGAAATATACCCAAGTGTGCACTGTTTTCTTTTAGCAAGTGTAAGCATAGCTTTATAGGAGAATTAAGCTCTATGCCTTGTTCATTATTTTAAATTACTTTTTGAAAGGCAAAAGAAAAGGAACAGTTATATCATGTATTAATAATTGGCACATTCTGGACATTCTAGAAGCCAAATTCTGGAAATTCACAAGGCAAAATTTCTATTTTGCCCAGATTTTTGGAAACTTGCGTATATACTTAGGGGAAATAAAATAGAAAAGCAATATTATTTTCAAGTAAGACGTTTAAATGGAACTTTAACAAATAACAATTTTCTTCCTTCTTTTAGACCTTCAATACTTCCAATGTCACGAAGCTGTGCCCAGGAGCACATTGCCTGTTTGCCTTCTATGGTGGTGAGACTGCCTACCACAAGTACCTCATCATCTTTCAGATTTTCAATATTTTCATGTTCTTTTGGCTGGCCAACTTTGTCATTGCTTTGGGCCAAGTTACACTTGCTGGGGCCTTTGCATCATACTACTGGGCTTTTAAAAAACCTGATGATATGCCAGCATTTCCCCTCTTCTCCTCATTTGGCCGAGCACTCAGGTAAAGGGAATGGGGTGCAAAGGAAAAAATGTCAATTTGCCTTGATATCAGCAATGTACCTTTTGGAGGAATAGGAAATTGTTATTAGGCATCTGTTAGGGCCCACTTCAAAACCTCATCCGAAGAAAGCAGGACTCCTGGAATAGTTTCTTTCCAAAAGGAACTTTTATTAGGAGAAGCTGATAGCAGGCATGATAGGCAGGATCTGAGGGTTTCCCACTCAGATCAATAGGTTAAAAGAGTCCCGAGCAAAATCCCACCCCAATAGTTCATCCGGTCACTTTGAATGGACCAATCCCCAGGTGTTAAGTTCACTGTGGGAAAAGAGCTGATAACAGGGTCCTTTCTCATGCTTGTGAAGATGTTGTTGGGTCTTCGCACCTTCCCTTCCGCAGCAAGAGATAAGCCAGATGGCCGGAGGCACATTCTTTTCTCACCCCAAGGTAACATCAAGGGAGAGACAGTTCAAAGAGTCAGCATGCAAGAACAGCAAAAGGATACATTGTAGCAAAGCAGAATAACATACCATGGAGCCTTCCCTCCTCCCCCTCAGGGGAATGGCAGAAGCCTCAGAAAGAAAGAAACAAGAAAGAGATGAGATGGATCCCTTCCCCCCCCCCCCCCGGGAAAAATGGATTCTGACAGGACCACTAAGTTCACAGAAAAGATAGGTGCAAGCTTAGTATAAAATTCTTTGCGATTTGGATAAGATGAGATGGCAAATTGTTCTTTGCTTTGTGGTTGGAAAAGAGAGCTGATTTCTGAAAAGCTAGTATTACAAGTAGATATTAGGCTTATTCAAGGTCACTTAGATTCCCTTAGATGAAAAGTGCTGCAGTTTTCTTTGTGAGAGCAGAGTCAACATATGTACATCACAGGTAATTTCAAAAACTTGTGAAAGGCTGAAGACACTTTTGCAAAAGCATAGTCCCACAAAGAAGTCTTTCTTGGGCCTGGCAAGTACTGCTTGAGAAGACTCAGTCCTGTATTCTTCAGCATAGTAGCATTTCCTACAGCCAGAAGGGACTCCAGTATAGAACTATGTTATCCTCCCTCTTTAAGAAAATGTGTACAGGTGTGCTGCAGCCTTTTTCTGCTGCTGTTTTCTCCCTGTAGGTATCACACTGGTTCACTGGCCTTTGGATCCCTGATTCTTGCCATTGTCCAGGTCATTCGAGTCATTCTGGAATACTTAGATCATAAACTAAAAGGTATTGATCCTTTCTACTGGTTAAAACTTTCAGGCATTTCTTTTGTAAACCTACCTCCAAGGGATGGTGCTGTTGTTCATAAGGTGTTAGATTTTTTAAATTTTTATTTTGATCTTTGTTGTCACATTCTGTAGCAGTTTAAGACCTATAGGGATTTTGTGCTGTAGAAGCCCAAGTAAATAAATAAATAAATAATCAGAGAGATACATGACTCTTTCTAATGTGATAGAATAATAAGAACTTTCTCCTGTCCTGTTTTGCAATCCATTAGCTTCTGAGAATATGTTTGCCAAGTTCCTTTTGACCTGTTTCAAATGCTGCTTCTGGTGCCTGGAGAAATTCATCAAGTTTTTGAATAGAAATGCATACATTATGGTGAGGAATTCAAACATCTGTGACTTATTTAGGGCATTAATGCAGATTTCTAGATGCTCTGCACAGTAAGGGAACTATTTTAAAGAGTTTATACCTTTGGCAGAAGTTGCAAGTTTTCTTTTAGATTCTTCATTACTCATTAAAACATTTAAAGCAGACTTGGCTGCCAAATGCGCTCATCTTGGTCATTTGTATAGTGCATTTACTTGTCCTGATGATGCCATGCCAATGCTGCAGCAGTTACTGTATTCTTCATTCTTAGTACATGTTTTCAGATGAAAATGCTAATTACCCATTCATGTTAATTCTGTATTGATTTTTATTGTGAAATAAATTGGTTATGAAATAAACTGGGGCCTGATAGAATAGTTGGAGCCCCTTGACTGATAAATAAAGAACTTTTTTAATGCTAGCTGAGCTTGGGGGGCATGATGGGAAAACATAACAAACAAAATAAGTACAGTATATTTTCCTTCTTATTCCCTTCCCTTCACATTCTCAAAAGTCATGTAAAAATGTATTTGCTTGTTTGTTATGTTTTATCATGGCATTAATACTGTTGTAATATTATATATTTGCCTTTTTTTCTGGCTCTAAATAACCATGTCTTTGTAGAAAAATAATGTTCGTTAATAGATTTTCTCCCCTCCCCTTTGGCAATTTCCCCAGATTGCTATTTACGGTACCAATTTCTGCACTTCTGCCAGGAATGCCTTTTCCTTGCTCATGAGGAACATAATCAGGTGAGGGCCAGAAAGCTGCTTTTGGCTTTATTATTCTGTTTGGAGGAACTCAGAAAAGTTCTTCATTGTAGATTTAGTAGCTGAAAATTCCATGATAAACTGGTACGATAATTATCATGTAAATGTCCTGTGGCAGTGGGCATTCTTTGTGATAGTGCTCACCTTGTGGAACAAACTGGATTCTCAACTGGAGAAGAGTACAGAAATATGAATACCTGTGTGTATGAATACATCCAAGTTCTCTTGACTAACACTTCACAGAATGAGATGGGTAGCATAGAACTATAAATAAATTGTATCACCTGCCCTAATTATGAAATTATTTATATATTTTATGAGTTATACTCTATACCTTATAGCAATTCTTATAAACCTAAACTTTCATAATTTTAAAATGAAAAGCGGCATGAAAATGCTGTAAACATTTATTCATTCATGCAAACAGTAATTTATTATGAAAAAATTACAAGATGTGCTCAGTTTGAATATTTGACCACTTTAAAATATTAAAATGGAAATGTAGCAAGAGATACTCTGGCGAAGGAGGAGATATTATAATATATCAGTAAGACTATAAGTAAGATAAGTAAGCTGGGGCAAGACTATGCAGCTTACCTATGATCTAAAAGAAAAGGGGAAGTCTTCTTTCAACTGAGCTTGATTTCATGGTCCTTTTCTATTTCTGATGGTATGGAAGTGTTTGCCACTACTTTCTTCCAGGATATTTTTTCCATTGCCCACTAGCCTACACCCTGGAATTTTCAGGTAGTCTTCCATCATCTGCTAACCAGGTCCAGCTCTGCTTAGTTCCAAACTAACTTAGTCCCAGAGAAAATTGCCTGGGTTCTACTGATGCATGATAAAAAGTAGGCATTGCTGTAACATTCTCAGTTATATTTGTATAACAATTCTATACAGGTAGTCCTTGACTTACAAACATTCATTAAGTAACCATTTACAGTTACAAGAACATTGAAAAAAGTGTCTTATGACCATTTTTCACATTTAACAACCATTGCAGTATTCTCAGTCACATGATCAAAATTTGGATGCTTGGTAACTGGCATTTGTTTATGACGATTGCAGTGTCCGGGGCCATGTGATCACTTTTTGTGACCTTCTGATAAATAAAGTGAATGGAGAAGCCAGATTTACTTAACAGACATGTTACTAACTTAACAACCACATTGTCAAGCTATGAAATGTACTGTCTTTAGGACCACTGTAGTGCTTCTAGCTTGTCTACAATTACTGGGGAGGGAAGAGTTTGGGATCTACAGGTGGCCCCTATTAGCGGGAGAGCCGAAGCTTCTGAAGAGATGTTTTGGCAAACCAAAGTTTCTTCTCATTGCTGGAAGATTAATTGGACAATGTGACCTGAACTGTCAGAGAGGGGAGGGAAAGTTTTACTCTTTTAATTATCTGTTTCCTTCCATATTCTCAGAGCTAGCTTTCCTTGTATTGTACCAGTTTGCTAATGCCTAATAAAATTTACATTAGAGATCACTATCAAACCTGAAGATCGCTGCAGCCATCTTTGTCTTTCTGAGCTGCCATAGGTTGGGGGGAGAAGGGGGAAAAAAATTACAGCTTTGCTATTTGCCAATTGCTTTTATTGGGTAGCATGATCTATAGCAGTGATGGTGAACCTTTTAGGGACCGAGTGCCCAAAAACTAGCCCCGCCCTTGCTCCACCCCCTGCCCTGTCCTCCACCCGCCTGCCCGCAGGGCCACTCACTGCCTCCAGGGCCCACCGCAGATCGCCCAGGCAGCCCAGCAGCACCATGGCGGCCATGCCCTCTGCCCGTGCTCCTCAGCATCAACTGTGCGGGATGGGCCGTGAGGGCAGAGTCTTGTCTATGCTGCCTGGCTGCCATGTCCTTGGCTGCGCTGCTCCGTGTGGATCACGCTCAGGAGCAACTCTTCAGGGGGGCTGCTGGTGAGGAGGGGGTCGTGGGGGGAGGCGAGGCTGGGGCAACGGCACATGTGCCCACAGAGAGGGCTCCAAGTGCCGCCTCTGGCACGTTGCCATAGGTTTGCCACCTCTGATCTATAGCATAGTAGAGGGGAGGGAATTGTTACATTTAGTTACATTGAATCCCTAAGGGGAATTTTAAAGTTGGTTTCACTTTTGACTATGCCGATAATACGTATCCAATAAACACGTGCTTTGAGGAAACTTCAAGCCTCTGAATTCTGCTTTATTTGGTTTCATTAGTCGGAACCTTGACATTTGCAATGTCTCTGGTGTTTTTCTTCATTGGGCTTCTTAGCTGGAACTTGACACTAAGCTAGCTCTCTTCAACTTCAATTCCTATTGAGGGATCCTGAGCCCCTATGCCCTTTCTGGTAGCCTCCACAGGGGTAGTGAAGAACTCAGGAGAAGATGCCTGAAACAGAGCAGCCAACTGGAACCGGGCCAGGGTTGATCAATGGGACCTCAACTGGGGTCTAAAGCAACTTTGCAACCCCACCAGCCTCAATGCGTCCCAAGGAGTGGGCTGAACAAAAGGAGCCAACCCCAGTCCTGGGGGGGGGGGGACAGGTGGAGCAGCAGTGTTCAACCAGCCTGAATTGGAGAAGTGGTGAGAAGAGTTGCGGAAAGCTGCTGAAGCTGAATTCCTACTATGCTACCCTCACCCTGAGCTAGGCAGAGAGTTAGAGTGGTGGAAGCAATGAACTTAGGAATGGCTAGCACCGAGAGAATGCTACTTGCCAATGTGTGGCAGCCAGTCGATGGAGCAACTGAATCAGAAGCTCAGCAGCTTGGAAGTCTGAGCCAGCCCCATAACTGGATCCCAGATCTCAGGGAGGTTTGGCCCAGCTCCCAGCACTGACACCAACCCCAGCACTCAGTGGGAGCAGCAGCTGTGGTGGTCAGAGGAGTAATTAGCCTGCAACCAGGGATGTCTCTGCAGCTCGGCCCCAGTCCAAGGCCGGGGGCTTGTAGTCTGCCAATGGCACTTCCCCCCCAACCTGGGGGAATAGACTGGTGTTCCCTGCCGGCTCCTGAGTATGAAGCCCACCCGTGGATGTACCCATATTGTGGGACTCTGGCCAATGCCAGGACCACCTCCATCCCCGCAACTGAGAGCAACATTTAACCAAAACCTTAATAAGCTGGTGTTCTTCCTCAAGCAAGCCCAGACACACTTTGACTGGCATTTAGAGGGTTACCCTGATGACAAGGCCTGAGTAGATGTTGTGGTGGACAACCTTGAGGGAGAGGCAGCAGAGTAGGTGACAGACCTCCATGACAAAGCTGCCCCTCAGCTGGCAGACTCAGATATGCTTCTGTATGGTTTCAGAGCCCACTTCGGAGACCCCACGCAAACCAACGAGTGGAGGCAGAGATTCTTAATGTCAGACAGGGGAATAGGCTTGTGGCTGAGTACATCAGAGACTTCAGGAAGATTGCAGGGAAGCTGAGGCACTGGCCAGAGCAGCTTTTGACCCAATACTTCTGAGAAGGACTAAGCCGTGATCTATTTCAGCTGTGCCTGACCCAAGGGATCTCAAGCCAGCTCAGTGGCTGGTACCAACTGGTCATCACTGTAGAGCTAGACCTGGCAGTGTACAAGGGCTGTGAAAGTTTTGGACCTCAAATGAAGAAAAGCCAAGAGAAGCATGCGTTGGGGAGAAAACAGGCAGTGGCAGTGTCCCCGGTTACTCTAAACCATCTGGTCTCTCCCCCATCATGTGTTTTCACTATGGCCAGGGGGGGCCACAGAGCAATGATGTGCCTAGCACCAACCCCTGGGTGGCTCCCATGACACTGATTCTCTCAAAGCCAAAGAAGCCACTGAAGAAGGGGAAGGAGAAATTGCGAGTGGCGGTCCAGGTCGTTGAGGTCTCCCCCCCCCCCCGAGAGTGAAGGAGAGGGAACTCTGCCTGAAGAGGAGCCACCAATGATTCTCTACTACAGCGAGAGTGAGGGAGAGGACGATCCGATGAGTGGAGTGGAACTTAAAGTTAGGATGGACATCACGGCATCCCACTCATGGGCTAAGGGGGTGGTAAAGGCCCTCACAGACTCGGGCAACACCCGTTGCCTCATTAGTCAAGCCACAGTGCAGAAGTTCGGGTTACATGTGAAGAAGCTTAAGAACCCTGTGAAGTTCGAGCAGGTGGATGGCACGCTGATAGGCAAAGCCACTTCCCATTTGACAGAACTGATGCAGTTAGAATTGAGGGGCCACCAAGAGACTATCTGCTTTATGGTCGCCTCAAAGATGTCAGAAGAGATGTGATCCTGGGCCTGGCTTGATTAGCCAAGTGGGGGCCCCAGATCTATTGGGAAAAATGATTATGAGGAAGCAAGCCCTGAGTCCTCCAAACATGGGGAAAAAGCAGCCCAAGAAGGAAAGGAAGGCAAAGAGAACCCCTGAGCACAGCAATTCACAAATGAGGTGCTACATAAGCACTTATACAAAGGGGTTTTGGTGTACCTGGTGACATCCTTATTTACACTGAAACCATGGACTAACATGTGAAACTAGTGAGACAGGATGCTAAGCTGTATGTCAAACTGTTAAAATGCAAGTTTCACAAGTCTAACTTAGACTACTTAGGCCAGGGCTTTTCAACCAGAGGTATGCATAGCACCTGTGGTACATTGGCACATGGCAGGTGGTACATGGCCCTGCCCTGCCCAGCCCAGCCCAGGGTAGCGGAGGAGGAAATGAGCCAAAGCGTCACAGGACTTGCCATGAGCGAGTCTTTAGGAACTGCAGGGCTGCTTGGGGCAAGGCAAAGGCCCCAGGTTCAGCACTTCCAGCACACCTGGAGGAGAAAGGAGGAGGGAGGGGGTGGAGACAGGAAGGGATTTAAAAGGTAGCAGTTTGGGCGGGAGAGGGAGTGAAAAAAAAGACGCAACCTTGGGAGGAGGAGGAAGAGTCAGCTGGAGCTGCACTGAAGATAAAAGGAGGAGGAGGGGCAAGAGAGGAGAGGACAAAAAACAGGCCGCGTGCGCACAAACAGGTAAGAAACGCAGCTGGGGA